ACTGAAACGGAGGCTGTGATCAAGGAGGTGCTCTGTTGGGTTAACTGTGATTGAGATGATGCCATGGTAGTACCAAAGAGGGGTTGAAATTGATTATCAGCAGCAGAAAGAGCCAAAACACCAGAAAAGATGATGTATCTCACAGCAAACAAAAAGGATGGCTGTAGAATTGAGAGGAAAATTCTAGGAACTAGCCTTGTTTGCAGTAGCCATCCAACAATTCCTTAGACATTGCATACCCTCCCTCATTCGCCCTGCCCTCCTTGCTACCCATCTCTCGATTCTTATATCTCCCTTTTCCCTCTTCCGCTGACATGTTTCATATGTTATGTCCCTGCATAACAGGATGCCCGCCCCTCCCCCCCTCCCACATCAGTTACTTGCTGCTATTAACATAGAGTCTAGAAGAAGCAGACTTCAACATAGATTATGTGATTGTAGAAAATGGTGTTTGGCAGTTGGAAAGGGCTTTACTAGAAAATGCATTTACTGTTGGAGATGGATGGTTCAAAGGAATAAAGCACTAACCATGTGTGTCACTCTTTGAAGAATTAAGGCGCTTGATCTACATCTTCATTTTGACGTAGGAAAAGTTATGAAAATTTAAAAATTACTTAAAAAATCTGAGTAATGCAGAAGAGTGGCTGAATGGGGATTTAATTGTCTTCTGCAATAGTGCAAATTGTCTGATTTCTGCATATGAATCAGGCTGATCAGCCACAGAAAAAGTTTACTGTGTCAGCTCTATTGCAGCTTGAAGCTATAGCATGCTATTAGTTTCTCTTGTGATAGCTATGTGTACTATTATGTTGTCACAGACAAGCACAGATGCTTGCATATAATTATGCATCTTGTAGAGGTTCTTGCCAACCTACTTGAATGTGTCTGTATACGGTTTTCTTAGTCTTGCTCTTCTTTCAGATGTTATTGTTTCATATCTATGACAATTAATGATGGAGATTAGTTTTTGTAACTGGTTTTTTTCATGTACTTATTTTTTTACCTCTTTTATCCTTTCTTAACCTTATATTTGTTAACCTACTTTTTAGTTTCTATGATCTACAAGAAATTCCCCATAACGAAGAGTCATACTGAGAGATTGAAAATGTTTTTATGGTACAAATATAACAATTAGTAATAAGTAAATTATTTTTATAACATTTTTTGTGTACATATTTTATTACAATTTTACTTTTTATATTTGAGAAATTATTTTTCATTGTACTAACAGTTATATGAAATTTTTTAATTGTATTCATTATTTCTTATTTTTAATAAAAATGTAGACATACAAGCGTGATAGTGCCTGTATTTCTACTATGAATTTGAATGTATTTGTTTCTTTAAATCCGTTTTCTTGTTTGTTTCAATGCTTTGCAGGCTTATGTGGATTCAGTTCTAGATTTGGCTTCACATTTTATTACCCGATTGAGACGTTACGCTAGTTTCTGTCGCACATTGGCAAGTCATGCTGTGACTGCAGGCACTGGGAGCAACCGAAATATGGTTGCTAGTCCTACCCAAAGTTCGGCAACACCTGCAACAAGTCAGGGTCAGTATGCACTTATAAATTGATAATTTTGTTTTAAAAATTGATCTGCAGATCCATTTGTATTTATGAATCTTAAAATTGGTTCTCATGATTTAAAAACTATGAATGCACTCCTGTAGGTTCATTATTCTTAATTTTCAGCTCATTCTCTGCTTGATAAAGTTTTTAAAATATAGGGACTAATAGTTTTTTTAACTTTGACGATAGAAATAAATCTTATTTTCTAATTTTGTTTGAGTGAGCTTACCGCGGGGCTGGTTGTCTATATATGATAATGATGATTTCAAAGGTACTAAATAGCTACTATTTAGAACTATTAAAATATCACTATTTCCTATAAGTTATCCAAACACAGTAGCTAAGCTACTTCTTAATCATTGAATGCTCCTATTTCCAGCAAAACTATGAGGACCACAAAACATACAAGGATCAATATTGTGCCTCCATATAGATATTTTGTTACAGTTATGCGTGTTGAGTAACCTCCTTCAACGGAGAGGGTGAAAAGAACTTTTAGGCAACCCTCTTGGTTGTTTTTGTTTAACCTCTGGGGTGTCTTTTTACCAAGATTGCTATGGTGCCTTTGGAGTAACCTATTCTTTCTGCTTATTCAATTAACTGAAAAAAATGTATAGATCCGTACTTGTATATTTTAAGCTAGTTCAATGTGGCGTAATTATGGATCTACTTTAGAAGTGGTAAAATTATGGTGGTTTTGGTAATGGGGAAGGAAAATGAGAGGTTATAAACTTTTCGCTGTGTATTAATTTGATCTAAGTTGATAGAAAAGACAACACTATTTGATATTTATACTCATTCTAGATTCTATATTCCTAAATGAAATCCACTAAAGAAACAAATTAAGGAATATATATATAAATATGGAAACTATTATGAATTAATCCCAGGTACTCTAAATTACTCTGCCGAAGCAGTCTGGATATAATTGGATATTTTTCATACATTCTAACAAGAAGCATAGCTTCTGTGCTTTTCTTCAAATGGTTATAGAATATGATCAACTATACTACCCTGACATGCTTTAAAAAAATTTCCACTAGCTTGATCATTGTTGTTTTTCATTTTATGTCTCTAACTGAAATAAATAAAATATTTCCAGGAGGTCAAAATGGGACCAGCAGCTCTATGGGAAGTGCCCAGTTGCAAACCTGGGTGCAAGGGGCTATTGCCAAGATTAGCAACACAACTGAGGGAGGTTCCAATCCAACTCCCAATCCCATCAGTGGCCCTTCAACATTTATGCCTATTAGCATCAATACAGGAACATTTCCTGGAACACCAGCAGTTAGACTTATTGGGGATTGTCATTTCCTTCACAGACTATGCCAACTTTTACTCTTCTGCTTTTTCTTTCGTCGAACACAACTTCCTCGTTATATGGGGTCTGCTAATAGAACTTCTGATGCAAATACACAAAAGCCTCAATCTAATACTCCTGCCCCTGGCAAGGTGGAGGAGATTGCAAAACCTGCTGTGGTGAAGTCTGATGATGGTCAGAGTGGTCGAGCTGGGCCTAAAGGAGCTGAAGAAGTACCTTCAGGTCGTTCCAGATTGGGTAGTGGGAATGCTGGTCAGGGATATACGTTTGAAGAGGTATAAATTAATAAACACTGCAACTTGTATGAAGACTCCTGTCTGTTTGTAATTTTGTGTCTTACACGATGTATATTTATAGGTTGTTATTTTATTTTTCTGATGCATGTACTGTGCAGGTCAAGGTGCTTTTTATGATGCTTATGGATCTTTGCCGCAGAACAGCTGGGCTGCAACACCCATTGCCAGTCTCTCAAGTGGGGAGCAACAACATTCAGGTTCGGCTGCATTATATTGATGGAAACTATACTGTACTGCCAGAGGTTGTGGAAGCATCCCTTGGTCCTCATATGCAGGTACATAATGGTTTTCTGTTTCTTCTAAATTTCTTATTTCTCCGAGACAATGTAAGCTAGTTATACTTGATATATCATGAAATAACCTCATTCTTTTTATGCTACTTAATGAATTTCTTTGACAATATAAAAGTTAATAATTAAGTTGGGCTTCCATGTGGCATCGCTACCTTATTTTACACGAGGATTCCTGTATAGAGTGAAATTTTATAACTGATTTACTGATAAAGCTAAGTTGGTTAGAGTATGTAGGTACTGTTGATTATCAGAAGTTAATCTTTTATATCTTGATCCTTTTCTTATTTCTTTTGCATGTGTAACCTTTCTGCCTATGCTCCCTGCAAACAAATGTAATTTGCAGAATATGCCCCGTCCTAGAGGTGCAGATGCTGCTGGTCTTCTTCTACGCGAACTAGAACTCCACCCTCCAGCAGAAGAGTGGCATAGACGGAATATGTTTGGTGGACCTTGGTCTGATCAGGAAGATGTAGATTGTGCAAATGATGCACCTAAACTCGTTAATTCTGACCCACTTGATTTCAGCTCAATGGAGAATTCTGATGTCTATTATGGAACTCATCGTTTATGGCCTAGGAAGCGCAGAATGTCTGAAAGAGATGCAGCTTTTGGCTTGAATACTTCTGTGGGCCTGGGAGGTTATCTGGGCATAATGGGATCACGAAGAGATGTTGTTACTGCTACATGGAAGACTGGCCTTGAAGGGGTCTGGTACAAGGTTGGGAAATAAATCTTGTTCATTTGTTGATATGGTTTCTCTCTAATGCGTATAAAGGTTACATAACTTATAAATGCTTGTTATTTGGGCGGTTTGTGTTTTATACAGGCCCAAGAAAATTTCTTTTAAAATCTTGGATCAATTAAGGAATTCAAAAGATTATTGCATTAATTTTTATGTGAATTAAAAGATCGAGCATTCATTATTCTTAGAAGTGTGTTGTTCATATATCCCATGCTGTAATACATTTAATGTTCATGGATGTGCCTAAGACATTACGTTGATTATCGTAATCCTACTGAATGGTCTCCTCAAAGTCTATCCATCAACTCTAAAATTCTTCTACCTGGTCTTTCATTTTTTCTTCATCTTCTATTCGTGATTTTGTTTACTTACGTGGTGCAGTGTGTGAGATGTCAGCGGCAGACCTCTGCTTTTTCTTCACCAGATGGTCCTCCTTCTCTTAGTCCAACTGACCGGGATGTCTGGTGGATCAGCCGCTGGGTACATGGCTGTCCAATGTGTGGTGGAACATGGGCTCGGGTTGTATAAATGGCTTACGTTATTATAATGTGAGTTTCAGGTTGTAGAAAAGGATACATTTGTGGCTATGAAATGGATCAGATAGTATACTTACGGGAGTTGTACAGGAAGAAAGGCGTAGATTTGCGTAGTTTGACATGGTGGTTTTCAGCATTTGTTATCATCGACGTGACCATACTATCTTGGACTTGACTTGTTATACTTCTGATCACTCGGCTGGTTTTCTATTGTTTTAAGAATCAGTTTCTGATCTCTTTTTTTGGGGGTGATTTATTGTCTAGTCACTCCACAAACAGGTGTTAGTTTGTCCATGGAGTGTTAATAGTTAACTCCTTGCAGGTATGTAATATCTCATTTAGTTTTTTGTACCTTAAATAACTGTAGTATCCCATCACGAATGCATTTGGAATTTTACATTTTTTTTTTAAGAAAAAAATTGCACTAAATGAAAATTGTTCAACAACAACATTAATAGCCATGTCTCATTTGGTGAAGTTGACATGGATCATGCGATACCATGTGATTCACTTAAAACCATATTTTTATGTATATTATTTGCTATAGGATCCCTTTTAATAATTTCATCTCATTTTTCTTAGTTTCCTTGTACCTTTTATCGTAGGGCTAAAGGTCACGTGATCTATTATCCTCACTGATTTCTCCTGTTGAATATAGTGAAAAATTATATTTGGATTAATCTCCCTTGTGTAAAATACACACATAGGGTTCTCTATTTATAATAGAAGAAATATGGGCTAAGCCCAAAATACAAAGGAGAAATAATAACAAACTAACTAAAAGATAAAAGATATAATATATCTAACACTCCCCCTCAAGCTGGAGCATACAAATTGTATGAACTAAGCTTGGAATAGATGAACTCAGTGTTGAACTAGATGATTTGTCTTCAAGAGTGTGAGGCAAACATAGATGGACTAACATCAGCTTGTGAAACTTCAACTTCAAAAGTGGATGAAGGAGAGCAGTGGTGGACAATGACAAACTGCAAGGACTGATTCCCAATCAATGATGGATGAGTGACGGGATCAACAGTAGTAGCTGAAAGCTAAGAGCTACAAAACTGCAGGGACTACACTAAATCCTCATCAATGATGGATGGGTGACGGGATCAACAGTAGTAGCTGAAATCTACAAAACTGCAGGGACTACACCCATATATATGTGACTTGCAGTGTCTTGGAAACGTACTCCCCTT